CACATTTACACAAACAGGCTGGTAATATTATCAATGGACTTCCAACATGTTTTCCATCATGGACAGTGTGAGTCAAAGTTGATTCCCTATGTCTTTTTTAAATTACACAGATTATTTTTAAATCAGGCCTTGTAAGCAAATCTCTCCCAATATTAACAATACTTCAAGTCCAAAGTATAAATATCCCCTAATAGCTTCACTTTAACATCAAACCATATAGTGGAGATTGCTTTTTTCAAGCTCTTGATATGAAATTTTTTCACTAGGATGCATTCACAAACAAACACATGGTTATTTTCATAGCACAGAGATTATTGACTTTGAACCCATAGCCATTCCAGACCACCAACAATACCCCCCCCCCCCTCCCAGTATCCCCAACTGTTTTCTTAAACCCAGGATATGCATCAGTCACAAGTCTGAGTCTTTGAAGTGTGGTTCAGACTTAGCAACAATACGGCTATTTGTAGAAATGTCAGTACAGATGAGTTGTATCCTCTTGAGTAATTAATGAGGGCATATAGAACCCGCTGTAAGGATTAGTTGAAAGCATAATACTCAACAGCATAGATGTCAGTAGTCATAGATGAGCCCAGGAGGAAACTGGACCCCACGGCTGTTTCTTTAATTTAATTACTTTGTATTAGGTGCAAGGACACCGAGCGCTGCACTTTCCTCCGGGTTCAACTACCCTCGTAGGCAGTACATTGATTTGTCCTTCAATCTATCATCGTAAACTGAATGTCTTTATTTTGATATAACTGAAGAACAATGTTTTCTTTTGGTTTAAGTTATTTTCTAATTATGTATGTTTTGCGTGAGTAGTGGACGTAAATGTTACTAACCTCACTAGTTGGCGACAGAAGCAATATGATAAAGATATCGCTGTGGCTGACAAGTACAACAGCCCACACTGTGGCAGAGTTAGCCTGGTTCATCACTGTCAGTGTTTTGTCAATATATTTTAAATAACTAGGTTAGCTACGTTTGCATACTAGCTTACAGCAGATCTTCAATAATACCTGAAGGAATCATGTGATCACATTGTTAATATAAGCCGATAAAACGTACATTTTAGGTACGTTTCTAACAACAGTTGGTCAACTTTATAGTCACGGATTATCACCAAGCTCTCCAGTCCAAGCTGTGTGCGTCACTTTTTAGTGTCCCCGTTTCCGTTGTTCCGCAGCGTTTTGTACTTAGCGTTTTGCTTATGCAGCGCTTTTAGTAAACATTGTACATGTGTTGTCAAGCTGGTAAAGATGTTTCTCCATTTCCATTTGTATTTTAATATTTGCATAATTTTTGAAATTGCAACGAGTCTCTCCTAATGGAAGTTAGGGCTGCTCAATTAATCGTATTTTAATCGCAATTACAATTTTGGCTTGCAACGATATGAAAACAACATCATCGAAATAAAACGATTATTATTTTTTTCTATTTTCTTTTGTATTGGTTTTTCAGTTGAATTAAACTTAAAGTTCAGGGTAATCAACTGTTAAAAGCATACTGTTCAAACATTTTTTCAATAAATGGATGTTTTCAAAGTAAATGGATAATCGTTTTTAATAATCGTGATATCAATTATTGACCCAAATAATCGAGATTATGATTTTTGCCATAATCAAGCAGCCCTAATGGAAGTGTTTTGGGCCACCGTACATTTTGCTTTATAAAAAACTAAAATCTATCGGCTCCTATTTTAGCTGGAGGATCGAACAATGTTTAACCTTGTAGATAACATACCGGGCGAATTGGTTGTTAAGGACTTCCAACGTTCTATTTCCTTTTAAAACATTTTCCTACAAATTAAATAAATACAAATTAAATTAAGTTAAAAGGTGTTGAGAAGAAAAAAAAAATCCAATACACCAGCGCATGCCAACTATAACTTTCATAAAGTCTCATGGAATTATTAGGTTTCTCATATACTATAAGGAGATTCATGGCGAGTCACGAGTGCCGCTTGAATCTGTCAAACAGTGTGGCATTTACAAGGGTTTTACTCTGAAGCCTTTTTATAGTTCCCTCATGACCACACACCTGTCTCGGGCTTTGTTGTTCAGCACTGGGGGGCTTTTAACACGCCTGCATGCTGAAAGAAAATAACTTTCCCTCCATCACAGTGGAAACTCGGTAATAGAGATTTCAGCGGTTACAGTTGGGTTCCATAACAGATGGAGACAGAGTATTAGTAACAGCAGGACTCTCATTTTAATGATAGACATTTATCCAGGAAACATGGCCTCCAGTTCCAACAAATGCACAAACAAAATAACTTTATTTGAAAAGTTATTATGTCCAAAATGTGTGTTAACACTAGCTTTATTGAAGATTAACTGTAGTGTGTACCATACACTGTCTGCAACAGAAACTTCCCTTTTTCGTGGTGTGAACTTATAACTATAGGAAGTAATGCAATATAACTTGTATATGTCCCACAAAACCCTGAGCCACGATGTGAAGGGTTTCCTCTAAGGAAGTCGGGTGGCATAATGCAAAGAACGGCAAACTAAAAGTCAACATTAACTTGATTTATCTTACTTTTCTTTCCTAATTTAAAAAGAAATACAGGACCTTCTATTAGGAGACATCTGTTTGTGTCCAGTGTGAAAACCTAAAGTCACCATTGATATATATTAGCTTAGATAACAAATGTATTAATTTAAATCAAACCATGATTGTTTCTGAAGCTAGCCCATCACTGCAGGGGCCTGTGAAGGTGCACTAAACGCTTGTGTTATTGGACATTCGTAGGATAACTCATATTGCAGAGAAATCATCAATGATTTAAGATAGATGACAAAGGGTTTTGTACTAAAGGTGTAATAATAGAATAGCCAATGTTTTGAAACACACCCTGTGATGCATATGAATATGACATTTGATATCAAGTAATCCTATCAGTTGTGGTATGTGATAGGGATGGGAACGATTAATAGAATATTCGAAATTATTCAGGTATTCGAATATGAGTTATGAATATTTTTATTGTAAACTTTTTTTTAAATTATAAATAATTCAATGTATACGACAGTGCCATAGCTAAGTGTGTTAGGTCTAAAGGTGTGTTTTGCTCCACTCAGCGGTCCCTCACAGCTGGCAGAGCTGCAGGTGCTGGTCTCTCTCTCTCGCGTCCGGTTATACTTCACTCGCGTTTATGTCCAAATCCATCAGATCTAGCTAGTTCTAGCTAATGATATGGCTTCTGCCCCTCCCTACACGCAGATCACGCAGACTCAAACCTCATCTTATGCCCAAATTCCAGCTGAGAGGGTCTTCTCTACAGCTGGCCTGATTGTGAATCGCCTCCGCACCCGCCCCTCCCCTGAGTAGACATGCTCATATTCTTAAAGAAGAATGAGTATTGAATAGATGCATTCTGTGCATAGGCCCTGTTACAGGTTGTTGATCTCTGTTGTAATAGGGTTACGTTACCCTAACC